CAGTTCCATCACATAATGTAACGCACCCATTTAAATCACAGTAACTATTACGGCGTTACTGAATGGGAATAGGTAACTAGTAACGTTATTAGTTACCTCAAAAGGTAGTTGCGTTACAAGTAACGCTTAGTCCCAACAATAACCACCGCAACCAGAGTCACGCCCTGCTGTGGACAAGACGACGTGTCTGCTGGAAATGAGCCAGAAGACGGACTGAGTGCAGTGCCCAGGCTGGTTTTGATAAAGAGTATTTGGGAATTCCTTTTCCTTTGACACCAGGCACACCTCGAGATCTGGCAACCACTTTGCTGAGAGTGGGAAATCCAAGGAAACTGCTCACCTCTCAAACATCCCCATAAACAGGATGATTCCCAGTAACTGATTTCCCAGTGCCACAATTTACTCTTAATCCCTAGAAGACTCTCTCATTTCCTTACAAAACAATATCTAAGCAGAGCCTCAAAAGAGAGAAAACACAAGCCTCTTGTTTTTCTGTAACAGCCCTTTTATGTTTATTGCTGGATTTAGTGCAATAAAAGGACACGGTTTGACACAGAGATAGGAAGAGGCAGAGAGAGAAGAACATGGAACAAAAAACAAGAACGCTCAAGGAAAAGATTGTTTGTGTTCAACCAAGGCAGTACTTATCCACATTCCTACACAGTTGATTATTCATGACACTTCCACAGTGTAATCGTCAAAGTAGATTTACAAAGTGACAAAAGCAGTATACAGAGCATGTATCCGCTCAAAGATGTATTCACTATGATGTGCAAAATCTCCCCCCGTGACCTACACGCGTCAATGTTCGTCTAGAGACTATACTGTAGGTGGGCAATTCATAGCAGGATCTTGTGTTTTTCTTATGTTTTTGGGAAACAAGTTTGGTTGGACACAGTTCTTATTATATGCCATATACAGTATTTCTATATATATATATATATATATATATATCCAAATGAGAACAAATTAAATGTTCTCCTAATAGCAGACATGCCGTTTTGGTATTACTGTATATGCTGATGGTTTGAAATATGCTTTCTCGTGTGCATCTTTACTGAATTATGTTGAAACAGTTTAAAAGGTGTTCTGTTGATGACCAAAAGTAATAATATACTAAACATAATATACTTAATTTATAAAGCACATTTCGTAACTACAAATATGCTGATACAGGTTAATAAACTAAGTGTGAAAAGAGATCTTTATTTTTTAATATTAATAAAATAAAATAATAATCTAAATATCTTTGCTAGACCAAAGCTGTGAGCACCAAAAAAGAAAATCCTATTACCTGCATCATAGTTAATGGGGTTGTTGCAACCTGGGTGAACTGATCCTAAGAAGAAAAATGGGTTTGAGGAGAAGCACTGATATTAAGTGTTTTTAAGGAGTTCTTATCTCTTGCTTCATTGCTTTTCATTGCCTATGAGGCACCTTCCCTCTGAGCACTGCCACATATTCTAATTAGTGAGTACACAGGCAGAGTGGGATCTTCAAGAAGCTTCCCTGCAGGGCAAGTATAGAACAAAATGATATGCTCTATGTTAAAAATAATACTGTGGCTTTCAAATGAAGGTATTCTTCATGGGTACAAAAATGATCAATGCAAACATTATTCAGCTAAACGACACAAAATGGCCCATTAAAATATGTGCTTTAACAGGTGAGTTGAAATGGCTTCAAGGTACTAGAAACCCCGAGATCACACCTTGGAGGAATAGACATTTTCTCATCTGTGACAAAACTTGAGTATACCGCAATTTAATGGATCAGAGTTTCTGTGCATGGCAACAGATGGGAGGCTAGCTGGCATAGCCCTCATTATTGAGCCTCCAAGCCCTCCTTTCTCACATTGCCACCTGTCCGGCAAGTCTAATATTATTCTTGCACCTGGGCAGGCCATCACAAGCTATCATCGAAGTTGTGCTCTGAGGGCATCCAGTCTTGCAACATGTCACAGCAAATAGAAAGAGAAATGACACAGATTAAAGTTACTGAAAGGTCTTTGAAAGTAGTTTTATAAGGATATAGTTTGGAATGACCCATGAAATCAAGAGGCTGACATTTCCCTTGGCTAACCGCAAGGACACATCTACATTTATTTTGATGATTAACAAATGATTTATTTATTCAAACCACGTTTTCACACACTGAGCTAAACTTCCTCTTATCTCCCAGCAGGAGTAAAACTGTTCCAATCATGGAAAGGAAAGGCTGACAATGATTCAAATGGGCTACAACAATGCTCTCTGAAGTAGCTGAGAGATCCATATGTATGAAGATAACCGGGGCATCAAACAGCTGAGTTCAGCTGTTTATTTCTCACCAAACAGGATCCTTATAGGGAGATATCTGCCGTCATTATTATTCCTGTATTCTGCGGAATGAACCGTCCTGCATGAGTCGCCAGCAAAACATCTATTTTTTCTTTGAAAATGTTTTGTACTTATTTGCCCTTGTAGTTGTGTCTTCCTAATGCATCACTCCAGCATAGTGTGTTGTAGCATTCCTAATACAGGTAAATTCCACACAATATTGCTTTTCATAATATGTCACCCCATGATAAGAAGAAACTTTCCAGAATCCTTATTAAATGGATTTTCTACTTTTTGCTAGCCTGCACTCAAACTGGCATCCAACTCCGTTCATCCATCATTTGTAATCTGTTGTTTTTGCTAAAATGGCCACAGATATGTTCAGCTAAGAACAAACACCTCATCAGTCATCGAGTTGTGTTGCTCCATTTCAGCTTGTCCAACTCAGATGATGCCGCCGACACTAGAGAGGGGACATAAGTAGTTGGGATGATAGCTTTGCAAACATCTTTTAGAATGTGTTAAAGTGTCAGTCCTTGCCTATGGACCCAGGTTATGTGTATTTTCATTGCTTTCATTAACAGATAACTAAAGCTACTCTTCAGCACTAAGCCTTGAAGTTGATTAAATGCATGTTTGCTTAGAGGCAGGAAGAAGAAAAGGTTTCACTGCGCTGTACTGGGAGCACACTATCTGCACGGCTGCCATTAAAAACTGTAATATCGGTTTAGCCTCCCGGACCCCAGCCATCGATAAGTAGGTCTTCATGACTGACAAAGGCAAACAGGCAAACAGCTCACAGGCACAATCCCACCTGATAAGGCTCATAACCTCATTCACTCTTCACTCGAGGAGTTAATCGAGTAAGGCTGACATCATGAACTGAGATAATGCCAATAAATACCATTTTGCCTCACCATGTTCGATAATTATAGCTCTCTAATCCACCACTTGCCAGGGTCTAAGGGTGAAGACACTGCTTTAAAATGAGGCTTGGTATGTTCATTATTGCACTCACATGGAAACGTTTTAATATTAAAGAAAGGTATAGAAAGCCACTGCTTTAGGAGCATTTTATTTTGCCACAAGATCTTATTCTCCATGCAGCACCATTGTAGAGAAAGTGCAGTTAGTTCTCTGGTTTGCCCAAGCAGCTCGCACTAATGGGTCTAACAGGGGTTTTTGTTTGTACTAGATTATTTCGCCTTTGTCTGATTATGTATTCATGGATTTACTCTTTACTCCAGAGGAAACAGGAAATACATTACTATTGACTGAAGTTACCAGGGCAAGCTTCTCACATTCTCAAGACAACACCACCAACACGTTCTTATCTGAACCCCCTGTCCAAACAAGTGTCTCCTTCACCCGTTTGTCTGTCTCCTGTGCAACATGTAATATTGCACCGTCATAACTGATATCCATGACAGTCTTGCTGATAGTTCCTTCATAGACCAGCAATCATCAGATTTGTTCATGTCCCCATGTTGACAGAAAAACAAGAGCTTCAGTTTTGTCAGCATGGTCAGTTCAGCAGTCATCCCAGTCAAGCCACACTGAATGGCCTTGACCACAAAACACTCCCTGGTGCAGGCTATTTTTTATGCGTTTATTTACAATGTGACAAAGAAAAGGCATGCCGTGGCATTTACCCTACTGTTATTAACCCCCCTTCAGAGCAACCTCTTCGCAATTAAAATAAAATCCCCTTGGACTAATGTGTTTTGATTGCTATGTGTCTGAAGTGATGGATGGATGGTGTGGGAAGGGGCTGTTCACAAACGGCTGCTGAAGTATCATTTCAGCCTCTGTGGAGAGGCCAGAGTCGGGGTGTGGTGTTGGCTAAGTGATGTTCCTGGCTAAACCCTTCATCACACTCCTTACAAGATGGACAGACAGAATACTCTTCCTCCGCAAAGACGGATTGCTCGCAGTTAGCAGGGGTTAACCTTGTGAGCTTGGAAATGTAAGGTTGTATCTTCGTCCAATGTAGTTTGGATCTGTTAGGTATTTACACCATATTTGGTAAATATAATATTTAAGGTAATTAGGTTAATTGGAGATGAACAAATTAGTTCAAAAGTAGTTTAAAATTAAATGTAAATCTGCTTCACAAACTTAAAATGAAACATGAATACAAGATAACATTGGAAATGTGAATATGGCTTCTTTCAAGAAATAATTATTACAACATTTATGCTAATACTCCTTTTAGTACCAGAAAGAGAATAGCAACACATACACTTTGTTATATTTTTTAAAGCTTTTTTTTTTGTAAAAGTAAGATTAAAAAGTGGGTCATATTGCCCCTTTAAAATCTACGGTGTCTAAGTGATGATGTAACCCCGACCACTCCCAAGCACCACCAAAACAGGGGGGGAAAAGCTTGGTAAACATAAATGACATTTCTGATTATTTGCTTTCCACTTCACAGACTTAGAGTTTCCTTTATGATTTGACAACAGGAAAGTGTCAAACAGAAGCTCATCCCTCTTATTTTCCAAATGTCAAAGCTGCCAATTTCCACTGGAATTCAGCAGAACGTCACAACATAATCACGTCTCAGCCTTGAGACGGCCTTCAATGCTTTATTATACAGTTTAACTACTGATCGTGCATCAATTAAACAAGCCAAACTCCACCTGCTTGAGTTTCATGTCATCTGTATCATATAATAAATGCCAATACTCGATGATGGCCTCTTCCATGATAGCCTATTATATTCCTAATGGATGCAGTCTGCATGGATTCACATATTCAGCAGAGCAGTAACTGCCAGGATTCAGCACTCAAACATGTACCAACCACATACACACTGCAGCTGGATATCCAGGAAAGAAAGAGCAGTAAGTGCCCCACAAATGTCTCTATTTTTATGCACTATTGATGATACATCATAGATTTTGTTAATGTTTGATTTCATTCAAGAGGTAAAATTCACAACACAGGCATTTTCAGATTGGAAAAATCTATCGAATTACAAAATGGAGTAATGGAAGTTATTCTTCCAATCAGGCCAGTTTGAAACACTGGTACAAGTCCTCACAGATTTACATAAACCTAGATCAGCTCTTGGTTACAAATTAACACAATTTAAATAAGGCAGTTAAAGTGTATTTTTTTTGCGAAACATCCTGAAGATGATACATCTTATATTGGGCCTTGTATGAATAATTTATATAAGGAGTTTGTTGTTTTAAGGTGAGCTGAGATAACAGAACAACATTATTTGTATAAAATGATTATCTTCCCTTTTTTAATCCGTAGATTCTGATTAAAAGTAGTCTATCAAGTTATGTTGGTCCAGAGTGAACATTTCTGTTGTTGAGGAGTATCATATGTTGCTGAACTCTGACTATATCAACACGTTATGTGGCTGCTTTACAGCTAAATAGGCAGTTATCATATTTTTCTTGCTGAAAAACCTCTCTCCTTGCTGCTGAAATGTGTGGGAAATAAGACAAATGTGAGTGTTGAGATTAAACCCTTTCAACAAATGTTGTGTAAAACTAAAGGTGCGAGCCAAAAAAAAAGGGAATAAGGGGATAAGCCTCTTGGTTATGTGAAGGGGATGGCTGTTAGTGTTCAATTCACAATGTAATTTGATTCAGTGTTAACATGCAATGATTAATGGGGCTTTAACTAACCTAGCCACCCACAGAAAAAAAGTGTAATATAAACTGTAAGGGGATGTTACTCATCCAATCTGGTAATAAATCTGTTCGAAATATAAAAAGACATTTTTTTGATGAGCAAGTGGTTCGTGCTGAATGTATTGCACATAATAGGATAGCAACTTTCTCCTTGTTGAAAAGAAAAACACTTTTTGAGCACTGGAGCTTAAGACGGGCTTAAGTACCAACACCATTTTACAAATAGTGAACCTAGCAAAGTACAAAGACATGCCCGATTCAAGCGGTTGCTTCAACGTTCCCTCCACCAAAAATGATATTTTTTATTTTGGAGTATATATTATCCCTATAATATATATTTTCTAAGTGAAGTTAAATCATTGTCACAAGATGGGTCGGTAATAGATGATTTCCCCGATGAGGTTAAGCGTGACTTACAAGGACTCAGTGTGTACCAGCCTATAATAGCAGCAGCTCACGTATCTGGGCCATATTACTGTCACATCTGTTGTGAGATGAAGACCCCATAACCGAGCTGCAAGGAGAGATTGCTCTGGTTTTACAGGGCAGCAAATATTGGGCCGCAGATTGCTGTTCAAATAACATTTTACACATGAACTACACGTAAAAGTGAAGGTTGGAACAGCATCGAAACCATCAAAAGAGGACCGTGAGTTTACAATGATTGGTTGCCACAGGTGACAGAACATCAGTTTATCCGACCACATGTGGTCATGGTTAGGGTGCCGGGATCAAGTAATCAAACTCAAGAAAAGGTGCAAAGCTGAGATGAAATGTGTCACAATATTTGTCTGTCTCTATCTACAGTATGTTGTCTCACAGTTAATGAATGATTCTGTGTTCATGGTTCAGCTGACAGCGCTTCAAAATATAACACTTACCAAGGACAGCAAAAATAAAGTATTTCATACTGTAAATCCTTAATGTCTATATTTTCAGCCCGTGGGGAATTATATTTAACTTTGAAATTCCTTGGATACATTTACACCTGTCATTGATGTGATGCGAATAATGTCCAATTAGGTCAGACAAAAATAGCAGGGCAAATAAATCATGTTCTGTGCTCCTGAGAAAGGAATGCACATCACAGATTGTCAGGTGTGCTAACGAAATTACATCTCCCCTGGGATACGCGGACCATGTACTTCATTATTCCTCTTTTGGAGAGAAAGAAAGTGCACTTGTCGCACTATTCTTACCCACACAACTACAATACCATTATTTCTGACACCAGCAGCTTAGCCTGAAAGAACTACTACATCATTTGCATCTGGGCCAGGATCCATGCTGAAAAAAGGAGAGCTAATGAGTGTCTTAGATATACTGTAGGCAGGCTTCGGGACTGGGAGAACACCACATCAGTGGTGTGTGTAAGGAGGATCAAGGCAGGTTAAAAGTATCCAAGACCTATTTATCTTCAATCAACCAGCAACATTTGGGTAATAACACTGTTTTTGTACTTTTCTATTCACAATAAAAGGATATCATTCCGGGTAGAGCAACAGTATCACTTAGGCAAACCAATGTTCTGTTCATTGAATTTCATCCACACTCGAGAAGAAGCCAGATTGAACAGGTTTAACATCTCTGAAAAGAACCAATGACTCATGACAGGAGGACAGTATCCAATTTTGGCAAGGAAGCACAGGCAGAAGACAGAAGCACAGAAACCGCTGGAGTTTCAGTCGACTGTACATCGGCTCAGCGTGAACATTCTCTTTCACTGAAACTATCCAGCCTTGGCTTCCCAGGACTCACAGCTGTGACTCCCTACAACAAGTCCTCAAGCTCTCCAACCATACAGACCACTCAGAGAACTTCTATGTGAGGGTTACACTCAGACCTCCTTCTGCGAGGCTGACAGCACTTTTCTGAAGGGATTTGTAATTGTTGCTATTCTATGTTCAATCACTTCTACTAACAAGTGCACAACCACAAGAAGTGTTGAGATCTTTTCCTTATGTCAGTCTTTCTCAAACTTGGAATTGAGTGTTAATTATAAAACAAGTTGATTGATTATAACCAAGTGATTAATGTGTAAGTAGGATGTATTATTAGAAAGGCACATTTGTACATCATGTAATGTTGGGCACTGGGATAAAAAAGCAATGCGTCATATTTGACAAGGTGATATTCCATCCATCCATCCATCTTCTCCCACTTATCCGTGGTCGGGTCGCGGAGGTAGCAGTTCCAGCAGAGAGCCCCAAACTTTCTTTTCCCTGGCCACATCAACCAGCTCTGACTGGGGGATCCCAAGGCGCTCCCAGGCCAGCGAAGAGATATAATCCCTCCATCTGGTCCTAGGTCTACCCCTTGGTCTCTTCCCAGATGATGATAATATGATAAGGTGATAATATGTTTTGTATTTTTTTACACCCTTAAATTTGCAAAGAGACTACTATTTGTAGCTGGCAATTAAACTGTATACACATTTAAAAAATGTGTAATGTTTTTCGATAGTGCAATATATGGTGGAGATGGTGGCAGAGTTTAGTGTTTCAATGTATGGTTGCAATTACAGCATACACAACAAGAGGCAGGGGGGGAAAGTATAGAAGCCAATCAAGAAAGTTAAAGTAGAGACACACATTTATTAAAGTTAGACTAAAATAGTATGCCTTCGAAGTTACAGGACTTGAAAAGCTTGATGGCTTCAGGAACACGTTGTGAAGTTTGCTTTGAAAGTGTCTGATCTCCTTTCAGAGACAAAACAGTGTATGGATTGACTGAAACACAATGCCACCCAGTTCTACCGAATCAACAACAGACTTATATGTGAAAAAACGTACAGTCAATGAACCTTGCAGAGACAAATCAATGTGCTTCAAGTTTGCTACGGTGTGTGACCCCCCTTTTACACCCACCTATACTCAAATCCTCCTGCTGCATCAAGAATATCCATACTGTCACACACACCCACACATTCTCTTGCACACTTGTGCTCCTTTCTATTGTATGAGGGTAGGAAGCCACACTCCTAAATTAACTGGTCTACTGAAGCAGTCAGGGATAAGCTGACACTCTTAAGAATTATCATCATTATACTGCCGGGTCAAAGATGGGTATCAGATTACCAGTGATGAGAGTGAATACTAACAAATCTCCCTGGAGCCAAGTAGCTTGAAGAAAGAAGGGTGGCAGCTGTTGCCCTATAAATCTGATCATGTTTCTTCTTCGGGAGGGGCCCAGGAGACTTCCAGAAAGAGCAACCAGAGCTGCCCAATATGTTGGCATCGGGTATAAGTGTTCAGCTGCACCGAATTCGCAGCTTCCCCTTCCTTCTCCTCATTGACCTTAGATTTAGCTGTCATTCTCAATGCCAAATGCCTCCATTAATATATTAATAAATGGTAGGACTCTAGGGATTTTCGAGCCCTTTTATTAATGCTATAATGATTGAAGGTTCGATGAAATCTGACAACGGCATTGCAAAAACTAAAAAGAGCAGGCCAATATTGCTGTGATTAGAATGTACATACATCCTACATTTACTTGGTCTCTTAAGTGCTTTGCTGAAGAGAGAAGTACCTCTTACACTAACCTCTGTATAATCCCCTCGCAGAGAGCTCAGACAGTACTCTGGAGCTCTCTGTGATGCGTCCATCAAAACCATTTTCTCTCCTTCTCTAATGCTATAGGCAAGGAGTTTGTCCCCATCAAGACAGACTGTAAATACCACCTGCAAACAACCTAAATATATTGAATATAATGCATGCTGTCATTACCGTGGCGGAGACAAAACGACTTGAAATGTGATGGGATACATTTTGGCTTTCATCACAAACCTGCAAACACACAATTTGATATCAAAGGAACTGAAAGAGCCTGTGCACTTAAAAAGACATCAGTAAAGCACTGTGTGATGCTAAAGGCTATTAAAGAAAGCCACACATTTCCTCTCATTTAGAATTATGTACAATACATCACTGACAGACTGACCATAAAGGAAACATAGCTCCTCTGTCTGTGTAGCACACCCTCAGGGTAATCTCTATATCGCATTAGAACCACAGGCCTTTCCGTAATAATGTCCACTGCCCAGTGGTGGTCTGCGGTGCCATGGGGTCTGCACATTGGGATCTGTGGCTCCATGACAAAGTGCTAACAGCCAAGGGCATTATTTCATGCTGTTCCACAGGCCCATAGCCTGACTCATCTTTTCTGATATATATCTAGCCCTAGGGATGATGTTCGGTTTAATTATGGATACACGGGACATCAGTCAAAGTTAATGTTGTTCTTGTTTTACACAGCCATCCATACAAGCTGCCTCTGCCACGCTGTGAACATCCCAAAGAGATTTGAAAGGAGTGTCACTGAATCTTAGGGCCCGGAAAGCAAAGAAGCCAGGTGAATCTTTGAATAATTGATACGGTCTAATTTTCAAACCGGAGCATGTCTCCAGCTGCTGTCATCTAATCATCATTTCACGGAGAAGGCATCAGAGCTTTGTGGCGACAACGGTAAAATTCAGCAGAATTTTACTCCGCCAGTACTTATGGAAGCTCTCTGTTGGGGTAGGGATCTCAAAGCCGTGACAAGTACTGCGCTCAGCCGTCCTCTCCTGACAGTGGCCTCCGGCAACATTCATCCCTCCCCTGGTAGAGCTGCGGGCAATATGGCCATAACCTTCAGCCCTGTGGAGCTTTACTTCCCTGGGCAGCCACAAACTCAGAGGTTCTGATGCTTCTTATGAAGGCTCCTCCTTATGGCAACAATATTAAAATGTGCCTGGTGGTGCACACTTAGGAAGCCGTCTCATCTTTATTGTGTGGGGATGTGAGCAGACTCTTGGAGCTAATGAGAAGGTACTGTTCTTTTCCTGAGCTGGCGGGATTAGTCTCAGTGTACGAAGAGCACTAAATGCTATTGTACAATACTGATCAAGTCTGTTTGAATTGTCCAATACAGCTGCATCTAAAAGTATGTATTTAAGGTCCCTTTGTATGCAGCTGGGCTTATCACAGAGACTTTTTGAGATAACAAGCCATGTAGATTAATAGCAACAGTTCCAAAAACAGAACAGAAGTGATTTATCCAAAAATATGCTGCTAATGACTGGGTGTCACCCTCCCTCTCTGTGTCTGAATGTATGTGTGCCAAATGATTGTAACCAGCCAGTCTGATGTGATAAAAGAACAGGGACATGCACTGGCTGAGGTCGTTACTTGATTGATTACAATTGTGATTGTTCTTAAAAAGGGAGCATTACACTGAATTGTGTCGAACAATAATGAGAGAAAAAAAAGGCTTTCTCCAACAAAAGTTAATGAGTACCTTTTTATCTCTGTGCTGACATATTCTCCAATTACCCCGACGATTTCCAAAAGGATGATGAAGACTGTCAGGAGCAAAAATGCAAAGTAACTCCAACATCGGGAACAACACATGCTCTCCACTGCTGGAGCCAGAGACTCTTGGCTCCGAGTGAGAGCGTCCCAGCCAGCTCTTCTTGGCACCGCTGGCTTTATGTCCTGGGCATACTGATTCTCATATCGGGGTTCATTTACATAATCCTGCCTGCGCTTGGTCTCAGTTTAATGAAGGGTGGTAATGCATTTCTATAATAACAATGTTTCACCCCTCAACATGCCAACATAAACAGAACAGTGTGATGACATCTGGGTAAGCACTCGCTGAGTCTATAATCATGAGGAAGAAAAACCAGTAGTTGTGCAGCCGTGTCAAGGCGTCGGCATTTTCAGAGACAAAGGAGGTGTCAAACTTTTTTCTTGATGCGTCCTGCTGGCTTCCAATGAGGCAAACTGTGACAAGTGAGCAGATCCAACCCTACAAAGGGTAGCCATCAATACAAATTCCTTCTTCTCAGGGTCTTTGCTGCATCTATCCTCCAAGCAGTGCTGCAACTGGCACTGCAGCGTACTCTCTATGCACAAAAAAAAGTACATTGTATTTTTTCTTTCAAAATACTACTGTATGTGCTGCCTAATCTTAGTGGTTGAAGAGGGAACATATTTTTAAAGTGGCAATAGAGGTGTTCGTACTTAAGATTTGCCTTTTTGATAATCTAGGCAAATCCAGTTGCGTTTGACTATACACAGTATTTATAAAAAGAATAACGTTGCTGATTGAAAAATGGCAAGAAGAAACTACTTTAGTTAAATTATTAATATATTATATATATAATTTTAAAAATACAATCTTTTAAATGTACCTCCTTATCAAGTCTTCCAAAATTATATTTTTCCATATTGTGTATATCATATCAAACACCATATACCATATCAATGCTTCAATAATAACATTTAGGCAGCAGAAAACAAACGCACACATTTGACATATTTTAAAATTGCACTAGTTTGAGAAGTATTGACATAATTCAACAATCAGAAACAACTTAACAGATGGCGCTTAATATCGACTCTGTGGACTCCTGATGGGAACTTGGGCTCGCACTCACACCTCCAACCTCCCAACACAGAGTTTCTTCTCAAACAATGCAGCCATGGTGGGGAGATTAAGTAGGCTGCCACAGTGCACAATGCTTCATTAGGCCTAGCAAGGAGGGAAGTCTGTGCCCAAAGCAATCTTGGACCCAGTGAAATGTCGAAGGACCTCTAATGTAATCCTGCATGCTACTCATTACTGCCCACTGTATTGACTATATTAAACAGAGTTAGAATGATTATTCAAAGGATCAAATCAATTGTTCACATAATGCCTTCACTCAGGATCTAATCACGACTAGCTTAATGTATTTAATGGTGCTAAGGTCAGCAGTGCATAGAACTATGCATGTGAAGGTGGAGATGCTAATGATTTAAGTAAGTCCTATAACCAGTGTTACTGTGCTGAGACTGGGGAATCCTATCCAGAAACTTTTCAGAGTGGTAATTACACCAAACAGCAAACAGCCAGGCAAACTGCAGTTCTGCAACCATTAACTCCTCTGTCGGACTGATTTCATGCCTTTATAATGATTCTGTGAAGCATCCTGACATCCTTCAACGTACAACATAAATTGCCACAGCTGTAAGTGTAAGAGACAGTTTGGCAGTAAATGGTTGAAATGACAATTAGGGGATATCTAAAAGTCCTAATGATCACCAACCACTGGTGTTACTCCAAATAAAATAAACAACTAATGGTTAAAAACTGGGCTGGATGCTTTTCCTTGCTTTCACATGAAAAACCCAATATTGAGATCCACAAAAAGTGGAGAAAACAAGAACAGAAAAGTTTGGCATTACCTCCAATCTTTCAAGCCCTCTGTATTCGTAACTCTAAACATTTGCTCCAAACTTTCTGTCCTTGATTTGTGGTGATATAATGTAAATACATGCAGCGGCCAAAAGTGCACTCCTGCCACGGAAGTGTGTAGTTTCAAAGCTAGACGTCTCTTGAGAAATGGGGAAATCCCTCAACTTTGTATGCAGCTTACACGTGGCACAATGAAGAGCAACAGCTACAATTCAGTCACGTGCATGAGATATATCCACACTTTTAAAATGTTCACCATTTTTATTGTTGATGTTTAATTTAACATGATGCAATATGTTCTATGTTTCAAACCAGAGAAATAAAGGGCATGTCCTTTGCATGAGTCCTGGTGTAAGCTTTGAAGAGGTTAGCACATCGGGGATCACAGTGTTCCCATGTCCTAACGGTGTCTCAAACTGAAATGTGATCCTGTGGGAACAATATTGCGGCCTCTTCAGATTAACCTGCTTTGAATCTGTTCAGGCTTTATCAGCACTTTGTCAGTCTTTTTCAAACAGGATCGAGCAAAGCAGATTAGCCTGGCTACACCCGCGACATTGTTCACTCATTTGACTCACAGATGAGTGCAAAATGATCTCTAATTTGTTCAGGAAAAGCAAATAGAGGAAACAGCGTCCGGCCAAAGGCTTGATGGAAGGTGTCGTGCCAGGATGGCTCAGCTTTCACCTCTGCTTGTATGACATGAAGGTCACAGCACACGAGGCAAGATGTGCGCACGCTCTCTGCAGCAAAGGAAGGTTGGAGGGGATGAGCTCCATCTCCAGGAGGACAACAGAGTGCCACTGTCACAGGGAGTAGACCCTCTCTGCCACCGAGAGCGGTCAAGTGGAAGGGGCCAGCCCTTGAGCAGGCTCACTTGTGAGAGTGTGTGTGTGTGAGTACGTATGCAGAGGGAGCAATCTGGTGTGTGCTGGAGGCTATGGCCCCTTTGACATGATAAATTCCCTTTGCAGCTCTGAAAAGCCAGGAGGGAGCCAGTCAACATCCTGCCACATGCCCCACTGTTTATCTTCCTAAATCTGGTGGCGGGTTGCATCCTCTAGGCCTGCCCCCGCCGCTCTTTCCTCTTACAATAATCTCCGCAATTTGTGGCGACATAAATGACCATACACTTTCTAATATTTTGCTAGATTGAAAGATTACTGCACTAAAACTGATTTCCTGCCACTGAGCCGAGAACACGGTAACCTGCAAGTGGCATTTATATTGCTATGCAAATGTTTTCTGTGCTCTAACAGATTCAAGCGGAATCAGGTTTCCCAAAACAAGCTGGAGAGCTCAGAGCTCTGAGATCATAGCCGCTTACTGAAGAGAAAGAGAGAGCTGGGAGGGGAAAAAAATGCAATTCCAAATCCACGTCTTCAGAAGTGGATGGAAGCTGAATGCAAATACAGTTCTGTTTCTCTGTGTTGTGATTTATCACTGTGCCGAGCAGAAGTGCCGGGGCAGGCGGTGTATTGAACGGAATGACTCGCCTCACATATTGGAAAAGCAACTCAACAACAAAGCACAGGAAAAATAGAGCCAGACAGATGGATGACCTTCAGTCCTCCTTGGTGGGAATAGGTAGAGGAATTTGTTTAGAGAGCTAATCGTTCACTCTGGTAAAATAATTGTCTGTAGAGACCATCTCTACTTAAAAAAAAATGATTCGGTACGAGGCACTTTTGTGAAGTCAAATAAAACGATAGGGGGATGAAAGTAATGAATGATGGAACATAAAATAAGAAATAAATGAAGCTAGGAATATGGCTTTGTGCCATTTTTTTTGAACTACGCCTGCACAGAATGACAACACCTTTATCTTTCATGAAAGATTGTTATTGAATAAAAGTCGCACAACAAACTGTATCAGTCTGAGGATGGGAATAAAAATGCCTTTCTTATCAAGGGCCCCATAATGGATGCACCATAACCAAATATTAACACAGCATTTGACATTTCTCTGTGGCACAATGACTTTGCAGCACTCCACCATATACCACGCACTGTTAAACAAGCCCGATGGGGAAAGCAAATGTGTCCGAATCCTGTTTCTGCTACTCTGCCACATTTGTGCTGAAAGGCATCTTTTTAAGCCCCGTTGCTTGTTTTTCTCAATCCCTAGAATGTAACGAGGGTTTACAATCGTCCATAGTTGGACAAAATAGTGAAATCCATTGGGAATTCCGGTTTTGTTGTTTCTTGTTTAAGCCTTTATTTTTGCTGGTTTGTTTGTGAACCACTGGGATGCTATGCAATTCAGCACATCAAGCTACTTTCAGTTGAAAAAACATTAGAGTAGAACAAATGGAAGCGTTGTGAATAAAAAGCAAGTCAGCTGGGTGCTTCCTGTTTTACCGTACGCTGTTTCTCAAAATTGGTGCTCATTCAGAATTTCCAGTAAACCAGATTGATTGAGTAGGAGCCTTGTGTTTTCCCATCTCCCTTCTCTCCATATAATTCTCCGGTGATGAGTCATGTCAGCATTGCTCTGCCATGGGTGAGCCTCAATCTCCGTGCCCAATGACTGCACCAGAGAGCAATCCTTCAATGCAGCCCCAGCATCAATCTTGCTTGGAACAGTTGGTGATGAACCTGGACTGCCTTGAAAAGTTCTCTGGCTGACGGCTTCCATGATCAGCCGTCACATCTGGCTGTCTGATTCATACCTGAACGCCACATCAAGAGAGGTCACCCTTCTGCTCTGCTTACATGTTGAGTTTCACTTCGGAGGACAACAACGCTCTCAATCCCCCTTCATAATGAGTTACATGAAACATAAAACATTTGGAAACCTGTCAAACACAGGACTTGAGAATAAAAAGGTCCTCTGGATTTATATTTACCTCATGTGGCTAAGCAAATAAGGTGACACACTGTTCACCATTTCATTTAAGTTTCCAGGGAAATTGCAAACAATACATTTAGAAAAGAAAGAAATGTAATTCCAGTTTTTATCATTTCATTTTTATCGCTATTATAATAATGAAGGAAAC